CAGCAGCAGCAGCAGCAGCAGCAGCAGCAGCAGCAGCAGCAGCAGCACACACACACCGTGTCCTGTAGACTCATGCCAGTTGCAGTTCACACCTGCTGATAACCCTAGAGTTTCTGCTGCTGTGTAAAACGTCACACCTCACACCTGCGCTGTCTGCTTTCAGCACAGTTTTCCAAACCTTGACAAACCAATGGTAGGAGAAACCCAAGAGCATAAGAGTCAGAGCAGGAAGCTGAGAAATCAAATAGCCAACCAATGCAGTAAGTAGAGCGGGGACAGAGAGAGGGAGATGCTATACACTATTAACACTGCTCCTGGTGATGCACCTTGGTCAACAAGACTTCTACGTTCCATTACCTCTTCCAAACACCATCACCTACTGGGGTCCCGAACAAAACATGAGAGTTGGTGTACATTTCCTATTGAAACCACAATATTATTGTCTGGCCCCTTAGACATGTGACCAAGTGACATTAAACAAAGCTTAAAAATCCTGTGACTCAACCAATGATATTGTGGTACTCCATCATCTATAATGGTAGTTGTACATTTTACTGTGTCTCCTCTGTGAATAAAATGAAGATGTCTACCAAACTTTTTTTTTTGATGAGAAAGTAGTTTTATTAAATTATAAAAGTTTCCATTTCCGCCCCTCCTCCCAACACCCTCCCACTCCCCCCACTCCCTCTCCTCCTCCCTCTCCATCCCTAAGAGCAGTCAGGGTTTCCTGCCCTGTGGGAAGTTCAAGTTCCTCCCTCCTCCCTCCAGGTACAGGAAGGTGAGTATCCAAACAGACTGGATCCCCAAACTCCAGTATATGCAGAGGAAACAAGTCCCAGTGTCATTGTCAATGGCTTTTCAGAAAGACTCCGGGCCAGCCACATTCAGAGAATCCGGCCACCTTCAGAGAATCTGATTGGATGATCACGTCCTCGTTCAGTCCCAGTCCAACTGGCCTTGGTGAATTCTCATTAGATCAGTCCCCTTGTATCAGTGGGTGATTGCACCCCTCGCAGTCCTGTTTTCCTTTTTCATTTTCTTCTTCCTTCTGCTCCTGATTTGGACCTTAGGGGGCTCAGTCCGGTGCTCCAATGTGGGTCTCCATCTGTATTGCCATCCATAGTCGGATGAAGGTTCCCTCTGGTCTTGCCTTCTTTGCTCATGTTTTCTTTCCTTCTGCTTCTTGTTTGAGCCTAGGGAGTTAAGTCCAGTGTTCCAATGTGTGTCTCTGTCTCTACCTCCATCCATCGCCAGAAGAAGGTTCTATGGTGATAAGCAAAATATTCATCAGTATGGTTATGGGCCAAGGCCGGTTCAGGCACCCTCTTCTCTGTCCAGAGAACAATCTGGGGATCTCTCCTTGGACCTGGGATCCCATTTATAGTCAAGTCTCTTGTAAACCCTAAAATGACTCCCTTAGTTGAAATATATTCTTCCCTGATCCCATATCCATCCTTCCTCCCTCCCCCCACCATCCCAGTCCACCAAGCTGTCCCCATTCCTCCCCTACTCCCTTCTCTCTAACCCTCTCCCCTTCCAACAACCCCCCCCAACCCTCCTCCATGTACCCGAGGTTACCTGGGACTCTTGTCTATTTCCAATCTCCAGGAGGATAGCTACATGATTTTCATCAGGTTCACCTTCTTATTTAGCTTCTCTAGGATCACGAATAATAGGCTCAAAGACCTTTAATTATGGTTAGAATCCACTTATGAGTGAATACATACCATATTCCTCCTTTTGGGTCTGGCTTACCTCACTCAGTAAAGCCTTTTCTATGTCCATCCATTTGCATGCAAAATTCAAGATGTCATTGTTATTTATCGCTGAGTAAAACTCTAATGTATATATGTTCCACACCTTTTTTAACCATTCTTCTATTGAGGGGCACCTAGGTTGTTTCCAGGTTCTGGCTATTACAAATAGTGCTGCTATGAACATAGTTGAACAAATGCTATGAACATAGTTGAACAAAGGGCATCTCTTGATTAATTTGGATAGGGGTTTGTCAATCTTGTTGATTTTCTCCAAGAACCAGCTTTTTGATTCATTGATTCTTTGGATTGCTTTCTGTGTTTCTATTTTGTTGATTTCAGCCCTCAA